GATTTACAACTTTTTATTTCCAAATAAATCGAAACGCTCACATTTAAATGAACTACACTTTTTCATAAATTTGTATATTAAATAAAACATTCATCTTTAAAATTTGTTGACATTAGTCGCTTGGTTTGCATTTTATGTGCCGTTGTTAGTTTTTGTTGCTTCTTTCTGTAAACTTTTTCTTTTAAAAAGTTTTTTTTTATCTAATTTTATTTTACTAAATGAGACATTTATACATTAAATTTGTTCAATAAGTAATACATACATTTAATAAACTATATTTTTTTTTTGAATTTTTAACAATTAATGCTAAGGTTTGTTTTTAATTAAATTTACTTAAATTTTGTGTTTTATATTTTATCTATGTAAAAGTGGACAAAGATTTTTCTTACTTATTATTTTTTTTTTGTTTTTTGCTTTGTTAGTCGCTTGTAATTTTTACAATATGTTTTGGTGTTTTTGTTGTTTCACTTAAATTTTTAATGTTAAGTTTTTTGTTTTTTTTTTTTATGGTGAATTACTTGAATTCTGTACTTTAGTTTTGCGCTTCTCTAACTTTGTCAATATGTTGTTGTAAAAAAAAATTATGTAAAAGCAAGCATTTAAACATGTTTCCTTTCGCATATCTAATTAAAACCACTAAATTGTTTGTTTAAGCAAAAAAATAAATAAATAAAATATATGTAAGAAAATTTGCAATGCTAAAAGTCTAATAATTACTATCTCACTTGCCTTCGTTTATTAAAAAGTTTTTTTTGATTAATATTGTTTTTAATAAAACATAGAAGAAACATTCATCATAAATACAAAAATTATTTGTGAAAAATAAATGCAAAAAAAGCCTTTTTTCAAATGAATAGAATTTATATATGTGCATGTATAAGTTAGTACAAAATCAGTAATGTTGATATGGTTTTATTGTATTAAAATAAATACTTGAAAACTACTCCCAAAAGACACTTAAATATTTTTGGAAGAAAAAAAGTAAAGCGTATTTGATAAGTTCGTTTTCAAAAAGTATTGAAACATCAATACAAATTTTTAAGAATACTATTGCAAAATAAAAAGAAAGATTTTCATTATTGGAAATATTATCTTGATTGGCCGCCAACGTAAACGGAAAGAAAAATGTCCGTAAGGATCCCGGGTAAGGATGTCCCGGAGAATTCGCTTCTCCTGAGAAAGAAATCCTCCAATAATTAATCTCAGGGAGTAGCATTTTCCCCGAAAATTTGTTAGGAGGAAATTCGAACTTTGAAAGAGCTGTTTGACACTTTTTTGACAGCTCAACTCCGCCATTTAAAATAAAAAGTCTTCAACGAATTTTTGGAAAGGGAAAAGAGAGAAAACTACCAGGGAGTTTCTGCTCAGAATCGGCCTAATAATTTAAAAATATCCTTATAAAAGGATAATTTAAAAATATCCTCATAAGAGGATAATAATATCTCCAAAAAGAGCAAAAATATTCTTATAAAATATAATAATAAAAAAAAAGTATGTAATAAATAATACCGTTTTATGTAATGAATATAAAAAGCTGTTAATATGCATTAGGGTGGTCCTTAAAAATCAAAACCTAAATTCTTTATGAGGCACCTCCTTATTTTGTTCATACATAAGTACAAAATAAAGACATCCACGCAAATTTCAAAGGGTTGTAGGGTATGAAAAAATTAAAACATTTTTGATCACAAAAATTTAACTTTGACCAGCTATAGCTCAGCCCGTTTTGGTGTGACAAAAACAAATGGTATGTCGTTAGCGGTGCACATTAATTCTTTCCAACGAAGTACTGATTCGTATTGATCGGACTTGTCAGTTGTCATACCCCGAAAACCCCGGAAGAAAAAAAAATGCGTTTTGAGCTCAGGAAGTTCATGCTAAGTCTCCCCTATATGTACGTGAGTCTCTTGGTATTTTACCAAGATTATTTCTACCCCCCCAAAACCTCAAAATTATTTTGCAATTTTTTAATTTTCGTTTACATAGGTATATCTTTTTTTGTGCATAGAACAAATTAAAAGTAGGCCCCGTACAAAATTTAGATGTTGATATTTTAAGCATCACCCTAATGTGCATACATACATATGTATATGAGAGTAAATGAATTCGAGTAGAAGCCCAAGATGAGATTTAAAAAGTAAGTAAATAAATTTTCTTATATTTTAGCTAGAGAAGTTTTTAGTATATAGTAGTCATTAGCATAAGTAGGTAATACAAGTATACATATATACATACATATAGGCTGCACGAACTGAAGGTTTAGTATTAGCATTAGAGGTGCGAGTTTAAATTTTCCATACAAATTGTGCTAAATTTTTTTAATACTTTCTTTCTAAATGTGTATGTGTTAATAAATACATGCATACATCCATAGCCGTGAATGTGTGGAGTTAATAATAAACTCATTCGTCAATTGGAAGTCGTTTCAGATTTCGTGAGAATCATGATGGCAAACGCAATACACGTCAAAGATTTGGCCAGAAGTCCATTTTATTAAAAGGGATATAAAAGATTCAAATAAAAATTTTTCTAAAAATTCTGAATAAAAAGTTTAAAATTTTTGGGTGCAAATGTTAAAGTTTGTTGAATTTTCATAATTTATGTACGAAATTTGCCCGTTACGTGTCGCCGGGGTCGAGATATTTTGAAAACCCCATATTTATGAATCGATTTCTTTGAAATATGCGATATGTATTATAATAATAATAATAGATTGGCGCTTACACATATGTTAGTGTTTGGCCAAGCTTCTCCTCCGATTTGTGGCGTGCGCCTTGATGTTGTCACACAAAGCGGAGGGACCTACAGTTTTACGCCGACTCCGAACGGCGATTGTATTTTTATGAGAAGCTGTTTTTCATGGCAGAAATACACTCGGAGGTTTGCCATTGCCTGCCGAGGGACGACCGCTGTTAAGAAAAAACCTTTTTTTCTATATTTTTGCGATGTTGCTTTGACCAGGGTTTGAACCCAGGCATTGTGGAGTGGAAGCGCGCACAGCTTACCACTACACCACAGCGGCCGACATGCGATATGTATTAGCTGCATAATAAATATAATGTGCCCGCTAGATGACGCTTTAGTCGAAATATTGATTGATATCTTTTGGTTTCCAATACACTCAGGTCTTTTTTTATGCGGCACATGCGTTCCTCAGAAAGCCGCATAAAAAAAAATCCACATAAAAAAGTTCTTTACTTTCATACAAAAGTATATTAAGATACTTCACGTTAAAAATTCTAAAAAAACCGCGTAACAAAATCCAGTGAGGCAATATTAAGTAAAAGAACAATTTATTTCTTCACTTCAACACTTATTATTCCATGTAAAACTGAACATTATTGAAATAAATAAACTTTTTTCTGTATTTTAACAAAAAAAAATACCAGAAATAGCCAAATGTTATAGGTATGTATATATAAAATTAAAGTGCGGGGTAAGTGTTTACAGAACTACTTCGTCGGATTCGAGACATTTGTAAGCATAGTGGGATGCGCTTCATACGACTGATTCACTTCTAGATTTCGATAGATTTGTTATTTAAAGAAATCTTCAAACAAAGCACGTTAAACTTATATACTGGCTTACGTCCGTGGGTTCACTTATTATGGGTTTCCTATTTCCCATGGCATCAGTGTAGAACAGTCCAATGAGATGCCATTTCACAGATCATGGACGAGTTAATTTTTGTGTAACTGTAAGTGACTTTTTTCGATTTCTAAAACCCAGGAGCGCTTATACAATACTTCGGAAAAAACAAGATTTTTAGGGTTTAGCAAATGCAAATTTAGGGATTTAGAAATTTCTCAATGTCTCTCTAGATATACATAACTAGGAAAAAAAAAACAAAACTTTAAAAATCAACGCGACATTTTTAACCGCTTAAAACTTGCACTTGAATGTCTTTAGCCACGTTACTGCATACTCAAAATTTTTCTAAAAATTCAGATTAAAAAGTTCACAATTTTAATGTATTTTGTTGAATATTTTCAAATTCTGTAGCATAAAGTTTGAAAGTTTGACTTGTGTGATTTTGGTCAATAAACTATATGCGTACAGAAATATTTTGATGTGGCTTATAGGCGGCACAGTGACCATTAGCTGAGAAGGAAAATACAAAAACTAAATATTTTCACTTCTGGCTAAGTGGACATGTTGAGTAATCATTGACGATTTCTTACGTAAGTCAAGTTACGTCAAGAGTAATTGGACTATAAAGCTTGAACAACCATATTTTTGAAGAAAAAAATAAATAAAAATTGAACTTGAAAAACATTGCAAATATTTAACAAAAATTATCATGCACTCACTTTTGATCGCCAGTGTATGTACATATGTAAGTGCGAAATAAGTATGCATCTTCACGAGCATTTGCAGAAACTTATGAATTCACGCACAATTTCGACGATCCATGTACCATTAAGGTGGTCGAAAAATACACAAGAAATCCATTTTACTTTAAAATCAGCTTATATTCAATTTTGCTGGCGGGGCTTTGAAGTTTTCATTTGCGAGTATTTTAAATGGAACTGCTATAAAATCGTTAAAAATACGTATTTGTTTATCAAATGAGGAAATTTCCCTTCAGAGGTTTTCAAAAAATAAAATTATGATGAACATTTAACTCTAAAATTTTACTAAGAACTTTTTTTATGATCGATAAGATAAAAATAAGTGATTTTATGTGTTCGTAATCGCAACACACACGAACGGCTCGACAGATTTGTATTTTTTTTTTTTGTTTTTCAATAAGCGTCATAATTTTATTTTAGAAAACTTTCGAAGAAAAATATTATATTTGATAAAAAAATATATAATTTCAACGATAATTGTATGGGAATTCTACGGAAAAATGCATTTCCTTCATATAAAATACATGGGAAACTAACTAAAATGCTCAGGCGGCACATTTAAATGTTAAATCAATTAAAAAATCCGGACTATCTTAATGCATATGTATATACATACGTACATACATAGCATACATATAGCAAATTGCATTTAAATAAATTTTCTCAACATTGATTTTGAACCGATATTCATGCTTTATATATGTATATATCGATCAGCCGATATTTTTTGTTGGTAAAATCGATATGACCGTTATCGATAATTTTATGACCGATATTGCACCCCTAGACATAACTAAAATAAAATTCTCCAACATTGATTTTAAACTCATAAGGTATCGATATTTCGATCAGCTGATATTTTTTTGTTGCTTATATCTCCATTATCGATGATTTTATGACCGATATTGCATCCCTAGATATATGTAACTGATCTTGGTTATAAAGACAAACTTAAACTTTTGAATTTGAAAAAAAATCTCAGAATCCCACAACTCACAAAACCGACTTCCAATTGGAAAATTGTATTCGCTTGATTTTTTTTTTTTAAATAACTAAAGGTGCTTAAGATTTCGTTAGTGTGTGTTAGTAACTTACATTTGTAACTTTTTTCACATTTGATAGTAACTTTGCAAGCTTAAGTGTTAAATAACAAAAAGAAAAGATTTAAAAAAAAATGCATGAACAATAATGCAAAAATTAAACGCATACTAAGCAAAAAAAAACGCACAAACATACACACATAACAATTTTACAAACATACACGCAATATACGAACGCACAACTTGCGCTAATATACACATATTTTTGTTACTTTTGCTTGTTTTTTTTTTTTGTGTTTACCCAACACGTACATAGATACAAGTAAAAATAATACATACTTGGTTTCAAAATTAATTTAGTTGTGGCTTCGTATTTGTTTTTATTTTTTAACTTGCTTTGTTTTACTTTTATTTTGTTTTTACTTTTACTTTTACTTTTACTTTTGTTGTGATATTACAGCTAAATTCGATGCTGGTGGTTGGTTGTTCAGTTTCTTTGTTTGCTGGTGTCCTTTTATCCTTACGCCTACTACATACATAGATACATACTCATATACAGGCATATCCTTCGCACTTACATTTAATTTGTTATCAATCATGCACACATTTGTGTACAACTACATATGTACATACATACATACATACATACATGTGTGTCTGTTTCGACTGCTTGGCACATTCATGGCGCGCCTGCGTAGCGCTTCACATCGCTCCTCATTACATTTATAATAACATACCTCTACTTTCAGTATTCGTCTTCACATTCATTTCACTTAGCATTTAGCCTTTTCCGTTCGACTTACTGCTTTTCTTTTCACCTTGCTTGCTTCGAAAGTTTTAAGAAGTCATTTTCCAATTTTTCGCCATTTATCTCTTCTTGGTTTAAAAACATTTTTTGAAAAAATTTAGAAAACGAAATACCCGTTCAAAAAGTGTTGTACGTCTGCCGCGTTGACGTTGGCTAGTTGTTATTCATGCTGCTGTAACGAGGTGGAAAAAAGTTTGATTAAATTGCTTATTCGATAAAACGCAAACCTTAATAGAGGATAGTACATAAAATAGTTTGATGACACATTATATAGTTGGAGAAATGGAGCTCAAATACACACATATAAGCATTTTATAAAACCAACATATACTACATGCATATGTGTATACATTTAGTACTTTAGATCCCGTTGGTCTTGCAAGTTGCCGCTTCACACATTTTGCTAAGCCCCAGTAAAATTCCCTGCTTAATACAATATTTTTGTAGAGCATTTAACACTCTTACTGGATTTTTTTAATGGACCTACACGGAACTTTTTCAAAATACTTTTTCAACATAAGGTTCAAAAGCCAATTAAGTTAGGAGCTAAGGGGTTAAAGTGTTCTAGAAAAAACTGCCCGCTAAAGTTTACTACATATCTCTGAAGACAAAAACATACATATGTTTGAATTTGATTTATACGTAAAATTATATGTAAGATGATGGATTTGTGAAAAAACGTGGTCTGAAAACTTCAATCCATCGTAAAAAAATGTAAAATGGTTTGATTTTTCACTACCACGCATGGATATTAACGCTTGGGCATTACTTTGTTGAGACCCTAACATGGCAGCTACACAAAGTACCTACCTTAATGTTTGCTGGGATGGTTTGTTTGCGCATTAGGGTGCACCGCTATCCCATCAAAAAAAAAGCGGGACTGTGTTCCCAGCGGGATTATAAAATTTATTATATTTTAAAACCTCCGCCAAAATAATCCGGAAAAATATTAAGATTTACGTGAGCTGGATCCATTGGAAAATTCCTCCGAAAATCGATTTTTTTTTAATAAAATTAGTTTTTTTTTAATAAATTTTAATATATATTTTTTTATCACCTCAGGTGATAGACGTGTTTAAGCTTAAAAGGTCTGCACCAAACTTGTTAAAGACTTTTATTAACGGAATCAAAATAATGAGATATTTGAAGTAGAGGTGGGCGGTATCAGGAAGGTCTGTAAAAATTTTGCAGGCAGGACGGGACCAACTGCTTTCCCGCCACCCCCGATAAAATCGCAACCTCCGCAATCACAGAAAATCTTCTTTAAAAATGTTGTATGAAATATTCACTTTTTATGTTTTATTGAGATAAAAGCGAACAGAAAAGCAAAACAAAATACTCGGAAGATGACAGATCTTTCATAATTTGTTTTCATTATTTTAAATTAATTTGAAAGGCGTGAATTTTATTAGTGATAGATTTCGTGACCCACCTGACCTGCGTACAATCCTGAAAAACGTCGGGACTTAAAAATTGTGTTTCGGGATGGTCGGGATCGGGATTGAATATTTAGTCCCGTGCCCATCTCTAATTTGGAAGTATTTTCATATCGGTCTAGCGCACGTAAATCTATATATTTTTTCGAAATATTTTGGCGAAACTTTTAAAACAAAATAAATTTAAAAATTCCGTTGGAAAATCTGCAACTCTTTTTTTTTTGTGAGACACCCTAATACATGTAATAATAAAAATATTCAAATATTATGCAAAAACATGTTAAAAACAGATTGGCAGTGTTTTAGGAAGCAGCTGAAGAAGCCGCTTACTGTGCCACCTACGCTAGAGTTCGATCCACGCGGCGGTGGTTAATGTAACGGCTGCTCTTCGTGTCACCTTGCATAAGTCTTGTCCGCCTCGTCCACTTCTTAGCCGCACTTTTGTCCCTTGATGTAATAAGAGGTTTAAAAGTTGAGGAGTTATTCAAGGAAAATTTTAAACCGGACCCTCAAAACAAATGCTGAGATGTCCTACCGATGAACTTAGATGGAGTACAAGAAGCTTATTCGTTCTTCGAAAAGGGCTTTGTAAGAGTATTGAGTGGTGGACTTGAGTCAAACAGCTAGGCTGTTAAAATTCCTTAAAAAAGACCAAACCGCTAAGCTGGGTTCACTCAAGAGGCCTGATGGTTCCTTCACGTTGACAAGGGGTCAGGCTCGTTCAGTCTTTTAGATAGTAATTTCCACCACCTCGGCAGAAAAGGGAGAGAATGTGAGCACCACAGTCTCAAGATAAAAATGGTTTGTTGCCAAAACTGTTGGTAGTGAAGATTGCTTAAAATATGCTATTGCATGTTTTGACAGCTTAAAATTGCCTATCAGGCGGGAAAAATCTGCCCATAAGTCCATCTGCAAACTTTAAATATATGGGTGCTAGTATGATACAGTGTAGAGTAAGGCACAGGGTCAAGACCTGGAGTCTATATTGAAAGTAACGGCGACAATCTTCACTTCTCTCTTGAGGAACATATCTCGGTATTTGCAATCGTCAAGGCCATGGACTACGTTATGGAAATATTTGGATAGGTAAGAGTTTACGTGCCTGCAGTCAGTGCCAATCTGAACTCAAGCCAATCCTCTAACTACTGCCAAACTAGTTTGGTAAAGCAAGTCATGACTAAAATATGTTGGTCAGAGAGGGATCGAGCCAAGTACCCCTCGGTCCGCAGCCAGTTATAGAACTTAAACCTCCGCCCATTGAAGTCACTGTCAGAGACTGGGTGAATAATTTCGCTCAGCAATGACAGCTTCTCATAAAAATACAGTCGCCGTTCGGAGTCGGCGTAAAACTGTAGGTCCCTCCTCTCTGTGTGATAACATCAAGGCGCACGCTACAAATCGGAGGAGAAGCTCGGCCCAAACACTTACATATGTATGTGTAAGCGCCAATCTATTATTATTATTAATGACTGGGAGGCTTCGAGGGTCTGCAGGTGGGCAAAACTCATGTTGCCCTCCACCTCAGAGGCTATTGCTAGATGTTGGCTTTCATTGGGCAGATGGAACTGCAGACAACTTGTGGGACAGTTGACTGGACACTTCTTGTGGCATAAACCACTGAATGTAATAGTCATACATGCCAGCCCCATAACAACGTCCCGTTAAAAATATCCTTCGAGTGAACGAGTCGATCATCCAGAAACGGAATTATAATCCATCACGACAACGAGAGACAGTTAGGAATTATCTAAAATATCATACATGCTTTTATTTAAAAAAAAAAACACACAGCATGCAACACTAAGTACAAAGAAAATGAGTGTTTTAATCATAAAGAATCTTATGTAAAGTAGAAAGTTTTTGGTTTTGAAAATTTTCAAACAGAGAAGAACGTCATAACACCGTCCAAAAAAATTCAACTTTTTTGCAGCAATGAAAAAAATTTCAGGAATTAGAGACAAATTAAAAGTACCGGTATTTTGCCGTGGCAGATGGTTTTTCTTTAATCTTTAAAATTTTATGAAATTTGATATAGAAAAGTTCTTTAAAATCGATTTTCAAAAACCAATATGGCGGATGGATTTCTAATAGAATTTTGTGAAATTTGATATCCAAAAGTTCTTTGAGTCGCTGATTACAAAACTGAAATCAGTTTTCAAAATTTCAAAATCGCGAAACCAATATGGCGGATGGATTGTTTAAATATTCTAAGATTTTTATGAAATTTACTGAAATCGGTTTAACAAATTCAAAATGGCGAAAGAATTTAAAAAAAAATTAAAATTTTCATGACGGTGTTATATGTTGGTATGAAGGCCAGAAGGAGTTTCTGTGTATATACTAGGAATAAGTGTATGTTTAGCAGTCTAACATTAAAAAAGGAGGTATATATTTAGGCGCAGAGACTTATGTATAAACACCTTGTAAGTTTTTTAATTAGTACAAAGAGGTACTGAAACAACATTTAGCAATTAAATAACTTTGGTCTCGTTTTTTTTTTTGTGGCTGCCGCTTACCAAACTTGCTATTGTTTCGAAAATGGAAGGCGCTCCTGCGCAAAAAGTTGCTTTTTCTTCCTTGCTCTCTGTTGAATATACATATGTGCACGCATCACCAGCAAACAAAACTATTTCATAGTGTTCAGTGCTTTTAAAGTTTTTTTTTTAAAGTATTGCATTATTTTTGTGAAAACTTTTAGATTAATTAGGAACATTTCGGCTTGTAAGGAGTTAAATATTTTAGTGGGTCTGTACTTATTTCGTACCTAGATACATTTATACATATTTCTGTTACTGGTTTTGTTTTAAATTTCTTGTTTTTTTTTTACAAATTTATAATACATATTTTTTGTTTTGGGTTTTCAAATTAATTTTCTTTCGAAGTAAACATTTTGTCACAATTTGGCACATTTATAATACATAATTTTTAAAATAATGTTTATTTTTTTCTCTCTCTATTTTATGTATATATACAAGCTTAAGAGTTCAATTTGTTTACCAAATCCTACCCAAAAACCCTAAACACTCAGAAAATCATGGAAGTCCCAAGCTTAGAAATCTCTGCAAATTGCAGGGAAATTCTTCTGTTATAAAGTGAAGCCTCGATATAACGAAATTGAAGGGGTTGGTTAAACGCCTCGTTGTCAAGCAGGTTTTGTAATCCACTTGCGAATGAACATCAATCAAAGTCACTTTGAATTCTGAAAACTGAGTTTTTAGTTTTTCTCTGTGCTCAGAAAATAGGACTTTCATACAACGAAATATGCCGCAGCGCTTTCGAGAGATACATAATGAAGCAGTTAGCGTATTTATGCACACATTCATAAGCGTTTCAAAGTGGTCCGCGTAAACTGCAAAAGTGTTTGACAGGAAGGCTACGGTATTAGAATAAAAAAAGTCCATGAGAAGTGCAGCAAAATGGCGCTATTGAACGCTAATTGAATTCTGAGTGGCAACTTCGGAGGCGCTACAACCAATCAACCAACATATGTACATATGTGCATTAGAGTGCATCACCAACAAACAAAAAAATTCCGGGCTTTCGCCGGATTTATAAAATTTATTATATTTTAAGACTTGTGGCAAAAATATTTTGGAAAAATAGTAAGATTTACCTGAACTAGACCGATTAGAAAAATATTTTGATTCGGTCGATAAAATTTCTCAAATTTTTCAAATTTGTTTGCAGATCTTTTAAGTCTAGACTCCACTATCATCTGACGTGATTATTTAGAAAAAAATCTAAATATATACTTATTTTTTTATAAAAAAAAGCTCGGTTTTTGGAGTTATTTTTAAAGGGTTCAGCTAGCGTAAATCTTAATATTTTAATGAAACATTTTGGTTAAAGTCTCAGAATATAATAACTTTATTCCGCTGGAGAAACAGTACCATTTTTTTGTATGTGGAGTGATGCACTCTAGTATACATACACACATTGGTATTGAAGTTAATGATGAAAAAAGCTTTTAAACTGCAGAAGTCATATTTTACTTTGTGGATATTTTTCGCGTTTTGGAAAAATTACTCATTTATAAATACATACATATATATCCCGCTTCGTGTTTACAAATAACAGCCAAGATTCTGGTTTATACATATATATGTATGTGTTTACTTAAAATTATTTAGCTGTATGTGAATAATTTATGCCACAAATATATATATGTATGTAATTACATTTACACCAATAATTTGAACTTTTCAATTGCAAAATGAATGCAAGCCATGTTTGTGTGTATTTGGGAGTGAAAATTTCTATTTTTGTGTGTTTGTTAGTAGCTATACAACTGATAAAACCACTACATTTTACATACATAATACGCATAAAAAAAAAATTAAATTAAGCAAGCTTTCCATAATTTTAAAGCAAATTAAGTGCTACCATTATTTACTACCAAATTTCTTAATGTTATTAAATTGTAAATTGTTTTAATTTTTTTTTTTGTATCTAAGCGCTATTTAATAAAATTGTTCAATTAATTTAGTTATGTAAATACTTTTAAGTGCATGGCATTTAAGTGGATATATTGTTTATATATTTATGTTGTTGCTTTTAGTAAATTTTTTTTGTTTTTTGTTTTCTGCTTTTCTGCATTTAAATGGTGCTGCTACAATAACAATAACTAATGTGATGGGCTATCGGTAATTCGATGTTTGGCGCGTGCTTTGCTGCATGAGGCGCGGCGCAGGGAGCTAACACTGCCGCCGAAATTATCATGATCTAATGATTCCGATGAGAAAGCTACGTACGTTGTTTTTTTTTTTTTGGAAGAAAATATACAAAACGGGAAAAGGGAAAAGTTTCATAAGAATTTGCAACTAATTTTATTTTTTTTTTCATTTTCTAAATATGAAATTTTATGAATAGATACATATGTAAGTATGTACAATTAAGGGTATGCAATTTAAAACGTTTTGTTTAAAATTTATCCAAATTATTATGTCAGGAAAGGATAATTTTGCGAAAATTAAAATGCGCAAAGCATGCAAGATGAAACGATATAGGAAAAGTGTTGGAATGAAGGATTGGTTTTAAGGTGGTTTATTGTCGATCATCAACTTTTTGAGGAAAAGGATTATCCAACAGCAGCTATTGCTTGCGACTTGGGGTTTTTTCAGCCCTTGGTCTGTAGCAATCAAACCTACTTTGGAGTTAGAACAAGATAGACCGCGTTTAAGGAGAGAGTAATATTTCGTCTTTAGAAAAAGTGGCACATTGTGCAAACCGCCCAAGAATCGAAAATTTTTGTTTTGGATGAATTTCGGCCAGCACTTACCTTTTATCACATAAAAAAGTTTTGCAAAAGGAAAAAAAAAGATTCAAAAGTGCAAAATTTTACAAAACTCCGTAATTTGCAAGTTTATTTTCTGAATGGTTTTGGTCTCGTGTTAAATATGACATTTGCGGCTAAATAAAAAACATAATTAAATAAAAAATTACCGAATTTTGAAATTGAAATAATTGTAAAGCAAAAATTTATATGAAATATTGGTTGATTTTTTTTTATATAATACCTCTAACTGATCTGAAATGATTACGAAATATTCAAGAAGCTGTTTTTTTAAAGATATGAATTTTTAACTTTGAAAAAAAAATTTTTGCAAACTCTAATGCCGGATTTCCACTGAGCATTCAATGACACTAATTTTAATGACAAAGTTGGACATTAAATTCATTTCCACGTGGCATTTTGTAAATAGTACACATTTTTTTATCAATGCCTTGTGGAAATTTGGTACAAATTAAAAATAAATTTTATAAAATGGTTTAACATAAATTTACTTAGACTTAGACTTAAAAAAACACCATAACTTCAGACTGGAATCGAAATGTAGACGAATTAAAAGCAACAAAAACATTATTTCAATCCAGCCTTGAGCTCAAAAAAAATAAATAAATAATATAATCTAAAAAAAAAACACGTTTAAAATTTTCGCATCTTTGAAGATCTATTGGAGGTAGATATTGTATGAAAAAAAATTGTGGTCGAATGTTTACAAGTTTTGCTTTTACAATTTTTCAATTTAAAAATGTGGTAAAATTTTTTTGATTTTGTTTATGCGGCCAGAACTATTTGACTATAATAGTTCTGAGATATTCAAAAAATAAGCTGGCAAAATTAAGAAAATTGTGAAATTTAAAATTTTGCATCACCTTCGAAAAGAAGTTTAGTTTTTTTCAATGGCAGAATTTTTTTTATATGATAAAAGAAGAGTTGTGACCGAAATTCATAGAAATCAAAAATTTGTCGATTTCAACCATTGCTCGATTTGACATGAATTGACACATATTAATCTGTGTGATTCCATGTACAACATGTGGAATGTTTATTTTATTTTCGAATAGTTCTAATGACGACGAAAACTGCTTGAGAAGTTTCAGTAGTTTTATTTTTGGTTCAACAAGCTGAGATATTAGTGGCACTTGGAATACACGTGCGATGCAGGAAAAGTAGTATATGTATTTGAAAATTATAAGTAAACAACCCTGCAAACCAAAGTTCCCGAAATCTTAAGGAAATCGTTAAGAGTATCTCATTTCTCTAACGATATTTTTCCGAATTTTCAAAGAAAATTATATGAAGTGGTTGACACGAACTCGTAAAGAAATTTCTGTATGAAAAATAAAGAAAATTCTGGAAAAATTCTGAAAGATATTCTTCACATAGCACCATTATTTTCGTTGCTTCACAGATTTTCTTCCGAAATTTCGTAAAAGAATGGAAGTGTGGGTAATTTATTTCATTTTAAAAAATTCGGCAAAAAATCGAATTAAATCTTAACGAATTCTTTAAAATTTCTTTACAATGCAGAATACTCTGAAAAAATGGTTTGCAGGGCAATATAAAGCAGGTTTTGGAGAAGTGAATTATTAGGTGCTTTACGGAAAATTTTACAAGGGTGTGTATTTTATATATATGTATGTATATGAGAATGTGTATAGTAAATGTACATTACTAAACGAGCGAACAACAGCGGCACTGTGGTGTGTATTAGAAGCGGAAGCTGTGTAAATTGCGTGTTTGATTTTGTTAAGTTGATTGCCTCATTTGTATGTTCTCATAGCTTTTAGCCGATTTGCGTGTTGATGTTTAATTTTGTTGGTATGTACTCCTATAAGTATTCTATGTTGGTGCTGTATGTATGTGAGCCTCCTTTTTGGGCGCTTCAAAAGTGCCATAACTCTTAACTAGATGCCACTCAATACATGATGATTAGAAAACAAATACAAATTTGGCTAGATAAAAGCTTTAAAATTACGAGTTCGCACGCACAGACTGGATACGAAATATCTACGGCGTTAATTTCCAACAGAACTCAACTAAGAAATGCAACGAAGTAAATAGCAAAATGACATAAGATAGTAAATGTGTGTCATGTTACTGGCTATTTCCAAAATTTCAACTCAAACAATGAAGCCGCATAGCTTACCTTTATCTGTTGGTGAGCCCAAAGTCAGACTGCTCAGGCTCGAACTTAAATTGTATGGACGTGGAGATGGTGGCACCGGTACTGCATCATCACCCGGCAGACATGTCTCTACCATAGCCTCCAAGCAGTTAACGAATAACTCAGATGATTCGCCCATCATGTTGTACTGAAGAATAGCACAACAAGTTATGTTAATTATAAAAAAAAAAAAAAACAAATAAGCACACCTACCTTTGTAAAGGGTCCGGCGAAACGCCAGAGTCCACCAAAACCGCAACTTTGCAGAAAATGTAACTGCTGCTGTGAGGGGTCCTCGCTGGCCAGCATATTTTGTATGATACTTTGTACTGAATTCAAAACGACTTGATCATGTGAGACAGAGAGTATATTATTGATCTTCTGATCCAGCAGAGAATGACTGTTCGAATGCAAATATTATCAGAAAAAAATAAATTACATAAAATATTTTATTTTATTTTGTAAGTGGTATGCAACTTACATAACTGGAAAAACCTTGGGGAAAACCACCGAACCCTCGGCTAGGTACTGATAGAGCACGCGCGTCTCGTTCTCATCCGTTGAATATTTCACCAATGTGGCCAAAACGGTCAACACCAATGCCTGGGTGGACAAATCGGAGAGCACTTCAGGATCTAGCAGCACATTCGACTCATTTGAGACAGATGAACGCGAGCCGCGCTCCTGTGGAGTAGAAAAAAATTTGTTGTTGATATTGTTAAGTATTGGATATATTGTATTTACATGAGTGGATAAAAGCTAAAAATTGTTTAAAAAATTGTTGAGGTTAGAAACACTTAAGCATTAGAGGAAAGCAGTGGTGCAAACGCGCTAGTCGAGCAAATAAAAAAATAAAATAAAAGTGATACGGAAAGAACTAAACAAAAGACATACCACAACATTACACAGTTACTTCAAAATTAATCTACTTTGTTTGCTTTATTTTTTATTAAAAACATAAAATAAACTAAAAGTAAAAAATATATATGGATCAATCCATGTCAAATTGACCAATGGCGAGAATCGACAACTATCGATTTGGATGAATTTTTGGTCAGAAGTTTTCTTTTAATTATATAAAACAGTTCTACAAAAGAAAAAAAGAGATACAAATTTTTTCCAAAGCGCAAAATTTCAAAAACCCCCGGATTTTGCAAATTTAATTTTTGTACATCTCAAAAACTATATAATATATATATATTTGGGGCTATAGAAAAAATATATATTTATAAAAAACGTTAATAAAAAAAATTACAGAATTCTAAATTTAAAAAAATTGTAAAAGAAACTTACATATATAAACTTTTTGCAAATTCTTTTTTTATACAATACCTCTAACTGATCTTTAAAGATTCGATTTGTTGAACTTTTATGAAAACAAATTTATTTTCAACTCTAGATTAAAAATAAATTTACATTAAACAATTTTTTGTTTCGAAATTTATATCTTTAAAAACCACCTTCTCGAAAATTTCAGGATTTTTTTAAGATCAGTATAATATACCTCCATTTTGTAAAAAAAAATTAGCCAAATTTTTTATAACTTTTTGCTTTTAGGTTTTTTTAATTTCAAAGTTCTGTAAATTATTTTTAATTTTCGATGTTTTGTATATTTTTTCTTTATAGCCCTTTGCTTCAGGGTAAATCAAATAGCCATAAGCGGGGTCTATTTGCGGAAACACTCACAAAAATTAAGCTTCGTATGCTTGATCATTGTAGCGTGCTTCAAGTGGAGCTTACATCCAAGAAGGAAGCTGAGCTATGGTCGATTGATAAAAATCCTGATCTGCGCAGTAGACGAATTTACATAAGGAGGTGGATCGCTTTCAGTCCTAAATACCTCCTACAATGCGGGATTACCGCTAGCATCCAGTAGTAGCGGTTCTTTCCTTCCTCGCTTGGCATGCCTCTGTCTTAGGTAATCTCGGTGACTATTTCTCAATGAGGAAAGAGTGGGATTTCTATTGAACGACTACTGTAGGCAACTGTAGGCAACTGTAGGGAAAACGAGAGGGACTCAAGAACGCCGAATACTTTATATGCCATTGGAATCAACTACATGACAAAACGGTACCACAACGGACGAACGAATCCAGTGGTTGAGTTCTTTAGATCTGCATATCGACCGTAAGTTCGTAAAGAAGCCTTGTGACGTGCCTAGGAGGCTGCTTTACTTCCAGCAAGTGTCTTTTTGGATGCTACATAGCTCAGTACACTGCCGTATTCCTAGCTTATAAACTTGCCAAACTCTCGAAGCATAATTTCGAACCAGCCGGCCAAGTGCCTTATATGTTTCCAACAACGTTTCCTTGCTTTTCCTGCCGGTGAGCGATTTAGGGACCTTGCTGCGGCGGTGGGTATGCCGTTGATATGGACGCCTAATTTCATCTTGATCTTATTCGCCCAGGTGGTGAAAAGTCCGCAGTTGATTTCATAGGCAAAAGCGTACGGTTTCATGTAGTGAAGAAGCGGAGATGAGCAGAGAGATAACGGTTTACTTTTAGGCACAGGTCATCAATGCCTTTGCTGGACGCCAATGCTGAGCAGTCGGCAGTGCATAAGATCAGTGTAATTCTCTCTCTCTCTGGTCTGAGGAAGATTCGAGATGTATAAGCTAAGTAGTAGTGGGGAGAAGCTTCGAGTTCATATTTATAATAGTACGGGCGACTGTGGATCACTCAGATAACTCGCCACACACCGTTTAAGCCTCGCTGGGAGAGAGAGGGTAATGTCGAAATCTTTCGAAAAATCGAATGATACTCGGGTAGTTTCCTCGCAGTTTCGGTTAAAACCACGAGTTATCTGAGACCAAATCTCCATAAGTCAGGAATGACGAGGATGGCTATATTCCGATTAAAGACCTTATTGAGGTAATTTATACTCGTTGGACGAAATTTTTTCAGCATCAGCTTGCATATTCTGTTGGGACCAATAGATTTGGAAGCTTTTGCCTTACCGATGCCCACCTTAGCTTGACATTCTAGTGTGAAAACGAAAGTGGAAAACAACTAAGGCAGAAATTGCATTTGAATAATTTTACATTCTGATATATTCTGTTCTGGCACACGAAGCTGACAGTGCGAGAAACCAAGATCGGGGTGAGTTCTATGGAGCCTAGAAGGAGCTTCTTGGATGCATGCTTGTATCGTCGGTAGTGAGAGCTGTAGGCGGTGGGAACAGGTGGTGCTGTATGGCTGGAGAAACGTGGGCCACTTCCTATGTGCTTTAAGGTCAGAACAGGTACCTAGGTGGCTCCATCCTTTGCAAGAGTTACACCTAACTGAAATGAAGTTCGGTTGGAGCCGGCGCTGGCGTGCGCAGTTAGTTAAGCGTTAAAAAATTCATTGACTAAGTAACTCTTCAATCAAATAAATTTAAATTTTTAAAAACCTTTCTAATTATAAATTAAATGTGTATTTGTTAAAAGTCAAACTGATTTCAATAAAATTTCTCAAACATTTAAATACAATTATTGTGGGTGCAAAATATATTTTTAATACCGAATTTCCACTCAGAATTGAAATGACACAAAGTTGAATGACAAAGTTGAGAAAAAACTTTTTCTATGGAGGCCGACCAGGAATCGAACCTGGGGTGTCCACTTAAGATACATTTTGTGTCATTGCAATGCCTAGCGAAAATTCGACATGAGTGCTTATGTTGTTGGAAAAAATCTAACATCTTTTTAGAAATTTGTATCAATCGCTTGTGTGCTTTGGTGTAAAACATCTTTAAAAGTGTCAAGTGCTGTGCAGAAAGTGCAGTGTGCTTACTTTTAATTAGCCTTCACACAAACATACACCAACATTTCTAAAACATACAAACAGATAAGAAAATAAAAAAAAAGTTATATTAAACTAAAAATAAAGCTAGAAGAGCAGGTCTTCGAAAACGCTATGTAAAATAGTAGCATTAGAACTAGTAGTAAGAATAAGCAGTAGAAAAAAAGAAGAAGAAAAGTCAATAGACAATACCTGACGTTCTTCGATAGCGCTCGAATTATTCGGTTCTTTGGTGGTCGGCACCGAAAATGAGCGTTGTGTTTTAAATAAAACCTTCGCGCCCTTCAATTTGAATTCGATTTTTGTTTTATTTTTGTTTTTGTGTTTTTTTTATGCATTAAATATTGCAATATCGAAGTATTTATCCATACATATGATAGTTTTCCAAAATCAAATAACAATTAAAATCCAAATATAGGCAGCCATTTAGGTAAAAATCATAAGCATTTCAAATCATAGCAACAAATTCCAATTTTGTATATCAATTTATGAGCAAGATGAGAGGCGAAACGCGAGCGCAAATATTCGTGGGTTTGGGAGTCAGAGGGACAGTCGCATGCAGTTTGTGGTAGGTATGTTTTTTTTTTGTTTTTATTATAATAAATTTAATGTTGATTTAATTAACGGTGATACAGGTTGATTGTGATTGTTGTTGTTGGTGATGGTTGAACGAAAATAAAAACAAAAATTTAAATATTTAATATAATTATTTGGTATTCCAAGTAGGATTGTAGGACCATTAATTTTAGCGTATTTTATTGGGTATGGGTTGTTGTTGTTGTCAATTAGTTTAAATTAGATAATAATATAATATACGTTTATGTATTTAAATAACGAGTAGCAGCACGTAGAACATATATGTATATACGATATACGAGTTGTTGTTTTCAGTACACGAGTATTATTACGTTTATGAAATGCAAGCACCAATCAACCAGCAGGCAGGCAATGATATCAATTAATTTTTTATTTTAATATGTTAATTTCAAATAATGAACATAAAAATAGAGAAAATAGAGATTTAAATCAATTACTTAACGTTATAGATATATGATTGTATTCAATCAAGAATTCAAATTACAATAACACTACGCATAATGAATAAAAGTGGTCTGCAGGATGAACGAAATTATAATAAAAAATATAACTGATTTTTTTAACGATTTTAAAAAATACTTTGAATAAATTTTTTTTATCAAAAATTCATATTATAATAACACTACGCATAATAAATAGTAGTGCAGGATGAACGCGCTTGTATTCGAAAATATACTCTCGAAAAATACATAAAACTGAGTTTTTTTGTGAAAAAAAAACGATAATTTTTAACAAATCTTTTTTTAAAATTTATTTTAAATATACGATTAAATAAATTTTCGAAAAATGCAAGCTCCTAATTCAAAACCCAAACTAAATTTTCGTTTCTATATGAAAAAATCGCTCCATACATACATACAGTGGCTCAAATTAGTGTTCAGATCTTTTTTAAATATTCACAATATTTCGCAAGAGAACTTTTTTTTCTTTTAAAAATAAATCAAAGTTTCAAACTTTAACAAAACCTTGAAAAACTAAAAAAATGCATCTAAATTTCGAGCTTTTTAATCTGAGTCTTCCTTAAGAGCCTTTTTGGGTATGTAGTTTTATAGCACATAAAGTTTTCGTAGAATAAAATGCAAGCGTTAAGCGGCTAAAAAATCGCAACGATTTTTAATAACTTGTTTCCACTTTTTTATACAAAACTAAATTTCCTTTGATATAATTTGCGTAAACCCGTTCGCAGAAAAATTAAAAAAAAAAGTAATTTTTAAACAAAAAACAAAACCAACTTCAATTCTCATATAAAAATTTAAGACTATCGTTAATTTCTTCATGGCCCGATGATCGGATTTAAACCAAATTTATACCTGTGAGGTAACACCTTTCCTTCAAAAAAGAATTTTAGAAATCGGTTGACGTGGTCTAAAGTTATGCGGTAAGATACATAAAAAAAAAATTCCGCCGAATTGATAACCTTTCTCCTTTTTGTGAAGGCGGTTAATAATGGCAGTTTTTTTTTAACTTCACTCTTTATATAAAAAACACAAAAGCCGCCAGCAAAAAAAAATTAAAACCCAACTTTATGGGACCCAAAAATAGCCAAAAATTCAGACAAAAAAGTTCAACATTTTTTTGGTTTTTTCTAAATTTTATATAAAGTTTGAAACAGCCACATTGATTTATGTATATAATTTTGGTTAGAGCTTGAACGATATTAAAAAAAGAACAAAACAATTTTAGCTTGAAAAACATTTAGAATATTAAAAAACAAACAGTATGTGAACACTTATTTGAGTCGCTGTACATACATATATATATATAATTAATTTTTAATTCCCCCTGAGCGCAAAGTTATGCCGAGCTTCTTGAAATGACAAAAAATTGGAGGCATCTATAATATGTCATGTAGAAATGAACTTAATGACTATTTTTTTAACGTAATGACAACACTATTTTTTAATGCCCAACTTTGTCATTTGTCTTTTTTGCCATTTAAGTAATGCCTAGTGGAAATCCAGCATTATGTTTTCAAAAATATCATTACAAAAAGGTGTATAGCCTAATCGGCCACTACATATTTACATATTCCCTCGAGGCAAGCTTTTTCAAGCCTTTGTACAATTTATATCAACAACGATCAGATAGAGCTTTTACTCTATGCGCGTTCATACTAAATATATAGAAAGCTATAAAAATGTTTTCCCGCGGGATCGGTTTTTAACTTATATCAGCGATGGGAATAGAGAGCTTTTACTATACACGTACCTTTACTAAATTTATGGAAAGCTTAAAAGAGCTTTGCCTGCGGGCAGAGCGATGCCCATCACCGCTTTATATACACCAGTAATGAACAAAACTTAACCCCCGCGAAAAGCTTTCCGTAGATTTTATATGAGCGTGCATGGAGTAAAAGCTCTCTCTGACCGCCACTGATATGCAGAAAAAAAAAACTAATTCTGGCCAACACTGGTATAGAGCAGTAACGGACAAAACATAATAAGCGGAAGATACTTTTTAAAGCTCTCTATAGATTTTATTCAGGTATGAAGGGAATAAAAGTTCTCTTTGGTCGTCGGTAGCATAAAGAAATGATGAACAGAGCTTGGACTCTCTGAGCGTTCGTACAAAAAAAGCTTTTCCCACGGGACCGTAGGTCAGGAAGTGTTTTAATTCTGGTCTCCTCTATAAAATAGAAAACAAAAACACTTTATGAAAGCTCTGCGCATGCTTTCTCTCTCAATTGCTGGACTCTGGTATAGAACCTTGACGGTCAAATTTATCCTCCCTACTAAGGGCTTTTTCGGGCTTTCAAATTTATTGTTTCACAACGAAAGTGCAAAGTTTATATACTTTTGGCTTTATCTGCTCAACACTAACACTTATACATGCATTTTACTCCTCACTAAAGTATATTGTGGACCAAAGGACTAGCAATTTTGTAGAGCTCGCCAAAATTTGGATTATGAATAAGATCTGTCTGTAAGATTACACCTCTTAGCAACACTAAGGACCAGTATTTGGTATATGTGAGAACTTTTCAATCGATCAAGCTCACCTAACCTAACCTAGAGTTTTACTCTAAATGTAACTTTAAAATGGATGCTTAATATCACGGATGCTTGAATTCTTCCCCGTTTGCATTAGAATACTTCAGTTTTAAGCACTGTAGTCCCATTTATTGCATATTTCTCCTGATCTATTTTCCATAATCCTCTTCCTCCTCCTAGACTCTCTCCTATTTGGGTTCTTCTTCACTACTACTCTACCTTTCCAAATATCCTACTCGAACTTTCTCCTCTCTCCTCTTCGATTTTCTACTATTCTTCTCTCATCTCCTCTATTGTCTTTGCTCTCCTGCTTTGTTCCTTTAGTTATCTTTTTCTTACTAAGCCTATTTCATTTATTCTCTCCTCCTCGTTCTTCTTCTTTCTCACTTCTTTATTTTATCTCTTATCCTCTCCCTCCTTCTCCTCCCTCAATGCTTACTTCTCCACACGCTTATCTCATTTCGTTCAGCTTTATTTTAATTTATCTCTCTTCTCTCTCCTCCCCTCTCTATCCTCCACTTTCTTCTCTCTATCATCCACTCTCTGTTCTCTTTTCTTCCACTCTCTCCTCTCTTTAGTTCCCCTCTCTCCTCCATCCAAAATATCTCTCCCTATTCGCCATTTCTGCACTATATCTCCCCCATCTCCCTCCGCCCTCTCTATCTTCTTTAATGTATTGATGCATTATTCTATTGTGCTGCCCATGAAGTAGATAACAAAGTTGACGCTCATTTCTTACCGCTATTCCGCCCTCAGTGAATTTGATAGAATCGCTGTTTGTATGATGTCACACTTACGCAACTTGCAGAAAGCCAGTGTGACCTCACACAAAAATTATTCTCAAAATCTAAATATTTTAAGTAAAATCAAAAAACAAAATAAGGCATAATCGTTTCTTTTAATGGCCTTCATCCTGCATATGAAATGGTAAATTACTGAAATATGCGAGTACAGTATCCAAATAAATGCTGGTAATAAATTAGGATGTTAATAACAGTACTTCGGGTACATATTAAATCAATATTATACTGATAGCTGATTTTCATACAACATGCGCATGCACCGAAGAAACTCACCTGATGTGTAGGGCCTTTGTGATGACGAGCAAATTGCAAAGCAGACTGATCAAGAATGTCCCACGACTTTTGGCGACGCGAAAGCGGCATGCCGAGAGTCTATATGAATTATATTTAAAAAATAATAATATTCAATAAGAATTTATAAAAAAAGAAGGCCAGCACAAGTAATTTACATTCTGGTTGCCATTCAAAGCCGTTTCGCCATTTTCCATTATGCTCAAATCGGCGGGCCAACGCGGTATGGCATGCTTAACGTGACAGCGCGAGCGCACCTCTTCCGAAACGGCGACCAACGCCGTCAAATAGGCAACGCTATCCGGTGTGACTTCGAACTTGTCACGACGCAACGGTTTGGCGACAATGCCCAGCAACATGGTGAGCACGCGCGATGTACGTGAGACAGTTGTGGGTGTGGGATGACGAAAACCCTGTGCAAAAACTAGTGTTAAGGAAGGTTGCAAAAAATCAAAAACACATTTGAAATACTTTTAGCAAATGGCCAACAAGCGCGAAATGAAAATTGCTGCGGAACGATAGGCCCACCGCATGATCCAACTGCTTGAAATGCCACTCGAGTTTCTCGCGCGTATTCATCATAACATCAGCAATGCTCTCATGCTCGAAGCAGCCTTGCGACTTTAGTGTATGCAGATTTTGTTCGAGCAACGCAAGACCGGCGCCATACAGTGTGACCTCGTCCAATTGCAACACAGATATAGCGACCCAGAAGAGCGCGCGATGTATGGGTGATTCCTAAGTGTGCAAAATGAAAGGCAGGTATTAAAATTTTGAGCACAGAATTTCACTTAGGGAATTATGGCACTACTAACAGGTCGCAGGAGTGGTTGTATGCGTGTCAAGCACATAACCAATGCCTCTATGAGTATGATGTCATTGAATGACTCCAACGCTTTTACTAGTATGCGCAACAATTGTTTCACTTCCTGATCGGTAACACTCTTGCTAATACAACCATAAACTATGAGCGCACGCGGTTGAAGCGCTGGATTGTAGCAGAAAGCGAAACAACGCGCTAACGACGTCCACGTCTGCAGCCACTGGCAATCGGGCACGTCGCGCATGCAAGCCTCCATTATTTCGAGCAATGCATCGGCAATTACTTCCAGTGAGGGTAAAGAGAGACGTTCGCGATCAGCTGGCAATGGTTGCGAAACACGCTCATTGCCCAGCCACTTGTCGGATGGATGGCGGCAACTGGAACGGAAGGCGGTCACAGCAGCCGACTTTACCTTGCTTATGCCGAAGAGTAAATAGAACTTTGATAGAGAGAATTCATCAAGCGATAGACGCAGTACACGTTGCGCCTCCTCGGAGAAAGTCGGTTTAGTGCAGGTACATAGCGAGTGAATGATGTTGATGACCAGTCCGTGTGTGGAAGCACGCATAGACACTGAGCCGGAACAGACCTAAGTAGCGGTGGGTGAAAGTTGAAATGTGCTTAAACAATTCGCAATTATAACACTTGAGTATGCTCACCAAAAACGTGATAATATGAAAAAGATAGGGCAAATGCGTGGCCACATCGAGACAATTGTTGAACGACAACATGAGCAGGTAACGCGCCAGTATGGCAATGTCATCCCACATCATATGCTGTTCCAGGAACTGTGTTGGATTTGTACAGGTCTTGTCCATAACGCGACACATGCGCGTTATAATCTTCTTCGAAACGAGTAACACATTGGCAGAAGCTAGCGCCACAGCTGTGTCAGCCATAATCTCCACATGTGGGGAACCCAAGCCATATGTAATGGATTTGTGTAGGAAATTATCGAGCACCATATCGATTAGCTCGGGTATTTGGCCAATCGAACCCCAAATCTTCGCTTGCACTGATGGATACATTTCCTTCTGCTCAATGGTGACCAATATCAGCTTATCTAGAATTTGTGACACCTTCAATTTTTTGGCATCATCGTTGGATTTGCAGAATTTCACTAAATTCTTCAACCACGGCGTCATATATTCCAAACACAAATGCTTCAACTCAATTGTGCTGCGCTGGAAACCTTGTATGCACTCCTCCAGAAACTCCAGCGTCAAATGTGGCTCATTAGTGGCCAGTTTCTCACTGACAGATTTAATGAAAATAGTGTTGTTCGATGGTATGCATAGGCCAGATGTCTCTAGCAGCTGCCCCTCGATTTTCAGATCAAAGGAAGCGGTGAGCGCACAAAGCAAATTGTATGCGGCAGTGCGCAGATTCGGATCAGAAGAGCCAAGATTAAGTAATGCCATATTGAGCAGCGTGCCCGGCACATCTTTGGGACGTATTTTCTGATGCACCGTCACCGAGTCAGGTTGACTCAACTCCCATCGATTGCGTATATGTATAATTGCTTGTACAATGTTGTCACAATCGTTGTGTATGAAACTTAGCTGGCCGCTTTCATTGGTAATAGAAAGCGTAAATTGGTTATCATCCACCAGACAAACTTCCTCAATTTCCGAGGCATAATAAACATCGTTGAGCAGCACTGAGTGTGCCAATACTTTGGTTTTCTCAGCTGATGTGATTTGTAATGCAGTGGGACCAACTTTAATGGCCACTTTGGTATCTTTGTGACTCAGTTTGAGTGCATTGCTGAAGACCTTCAGATCTTCATCCAGTGATAGTGTGGCACCTGGCAGTTTTTGTTGTTCGGTGTCGATGAATTCATTCAGTTTATTCGGTGTATCTAGGAACACTAGTTTACGGTTGCCCTGTATCGGGGGAAAGAGTTAACTAGAAACTTTTTCGAGGCAAAAAAAAAAACGTTTTTTACCTTTAACGGCGCTAGTATGCGATCATGAAATTTGGTATATTCGCGCACCCACGAATTGCAGTTGTAAATGTAAACAGCGTACACATTTTCGTAAGCAACGGTTGGCAGCACATAAAACCATTTCTGTAGAAACTCTGTGCGGAAGCGATTATCCGAACAGGTGTGCGTGAAATCGATGATTACTTCGAAGGGCGAGTGACAGAAAGGTTTGAGCGTGAGTATAACGTGATAGATGAGGAGATCGCCATTCGTTTCGCCAATTCTATAAGTGAAGGGGAGACGATAATGCAAATTAAATTGGTTTGTTAAAAAAACCCCAGGAGGCAATTTCACTCTGCTACTACTAACTTGTAACGCCTTGCGATGTAGTAAAATACTGGGAAACCAGACTTGCTTGTGCCCGCTTGATAGAAAATATTCATTGTTTTCAAAGTTTTAAATTCCTCCTTCTCGTGCATTTGATGTTTAACCATAATTTCTTCGAAATTCGTTGATGACATATCGATGGAACTCCAGCGTGCATACGATGAGAACATCATGCTGCAATGTACAGAGTTTTTAATGAAATGAATTAACTTCCTGAAGCGATATATTTGTTTTATTTACTGCGAGTCCACGGGCTTATGCTCCGGCGGTCCCAGGTAAGCCAACAGTGTAGCCATCTTATCGAATGGTCGTCTCCCAACCGCCTTATGGTCACGACTGCTGGATAAATAGTCGCCAATGCGTTCCTGATGGGTCCAGAGCAGGCGATGTAGCGCCAGTACATTGGCATCCGAGATGAAGCTCATGCTGTGCGAAGTCTGATCAACAGTTTCGCAATCCGAAGCAATTTGTACGAAGAAGTGACGCCCCTGTTCAAAGCGCGTACGTAGAAAATCATTGAAAGAAACCATATGCTGCTCTTTGGAGAATTCAACATGATTGGCAATATTTTGCAAAATTTTCGACATCAACATAAGACCGCGCTTGACCGAAGCGGGCACTTGGCGGCCAACAATGCCGAGCTCTTGTGGTGAGACTATAGTGAAATAATAAACATTAATTTTTCAATATTTAAAGTGGGAGGAGAACACTCACCAATTGCCGGATTGATGAAGCGCAGAAAAATTACAGTGCCCACGGCTCCGATATTGGTTTGCAGCACAGTGGGAAAGCGTTTGCTCAGCACCTGATAGAGGCAGTGGCACATAGAGCGCAATTGTGAGGGAAAACGATCCACTGAGTTCAGTATCGCATCAAAAAATCGTTTGGTAAGCGCCATCAGATTTTCCTTGTTGCGCTCCAAGTCTTCACCCGGCTCAAGCCTGCAAAAAAAAATAAAGGTAATTTTTTAAAGTATTTATTGTTTTTTTTTTTTTTTGGGGGGGGTTTGAAGTGATGACATGAAGACTCAGTAGTCCCCACAAATCAGGTTGTACGTCTTAGTATGGTATATTCTTGCTGCTATGAGTGATGTGTAGATATCTCAAACGTTGCTCCACTGATGCACACAGGTAATACCAATAGGCCAGAACCGCAAACATGAGTTTCTGCTTTGCTATGTGAGTTTCTGCTTTGCTTTCTTTGTCTTAGTATGGTACTTATATTCTTGACGAGTTTCTGCTTTGCTATACAAGTTTCTGCTTTGGTTTATTATTTATGTAATTATTATTTTAAAGTATTATCTTCAGTTGAATTAAAACTTTATAAGTTTAATTTAGTCCACAAGTAACTTTTATAGTTATTCGTCAAAATATTTTTAGGTTATAATTTCCAATATTAGAAGTACAAAAAAATTTTTCTTTGAACTGTTACTTGTTCCGTTTCTTGGAACAGTTACGTATACACATATATATACTTTTCATTTCAGTTAATTTTCACATACGATAGTACCGTTTAAACGGTATACTTTAACATTTCAATTTAATTGTGTTATTAATTTTCTTTAAGTCAGCGTCTATTACATTATTTATGTAATTATTATATTAAAGTATTTTCTTTAGTTGAATTAAAACTTTATACGTTTAATTTAATGAAACGACTTCATTATTTGTTTATATTTTAATCCGATATTTGCTTTAAAAGTACTCGACAGGTCAGCACGACCATACTCGTGAAAGAGCCATTTTGAACTGTATTTATTGTTTTAGATTACAAAATAATCATTCACAACTCACCGCGCCGGATCCACCTCATAGCTAGTGTTCGGATCATCGAGTAGCGGCCGTATAAGCGGCTCCAACAAATTCTGCAAGTAACTGGCGCCATAAATTTTAAAACAGAATGCCATTATTTTACTGCCCAGCGAATTGCCCCGAAACAGTGTCGACATACACTCGGATATTTCCACTTCACGATAGAACATATTCCACAATAGTGGCGACAACAAATGCTTGGCATCGAACAGTGTGACCAGCACACGCGCCAACTCATCCATTTGTGAAGTGGTCACCACATTTGCTAGCGCCATAGCAATCGGCAGCTCACCCTTATCCGATATCATTGTAACCAACTGCACTAGCTGCTCAAAGCGATCGGCTAACACCGTCTCGGCAAGCGTATCAAACTCAGTGCCTTGTTGCAAGATTTGTGTGAGCACCTCCATGAATGCGGCGCGCGTTTGCAAGTCAGGATTATAGCCCAGATCGATAGAATGCATGAGGCCTGAGTCTATGTTGGCGCCCAATAGGTTGGACATAGCTTGTATAGTAGAATTACGTAGTGCGGTAAGTTTGTTGCCTTGTACAGGTGGGCGAGGTGGAAGTAGTGGTGGATTATTAAGCTCCTTCTCAGCCTCAGAGCTGTCAATGCAGTCATTCAATAGGTTCATGAAGAGTGTAAAATACCTAAGAAATGGGGAAATTAGGGAAAACGTGAAAGATGTGTAAACCGCTCCGTGACATACTTGAGAAATAGCGCGCTCTTGGCATCCATTAAGTCGCCGCGATCTGACTCCTCTGGCTGGAGGGGTAGGCCGCGTAGCAATGCGGCTACAGCTTCCATGCAGGCTTGATCGAGGTCGCGAAATATTGTGGAGGGACTAAAATGGGCATTCGAAGAAGGAAAGAGTTATAAAAATGTTTACAAGAAATTACAGCAAGTATTTTAGTTTTAAGGGAACATTTCACGAAAAGTTGAAGCATTTGATTACTCCATTAGTGCTTTACAACTTAGCTGATTTAACTTTCAAAGCAGCGTTTACTCTACTCACTTGGAAGGCGTTGGTTCATTTGAATTCGATGGCGCTATCTGGTGCGTGGTGCCCATCACCCAATCGGTCAGGTACTCTACTAATTTGTTGCGAAATTTCATTTCCTGACGGAATGCCAAATCATCACGTCGCTTCATCATCACCTCTACCAATGTGCAGAGTCTTGTCTTCGTGCGTATTGCAAATACAGTCATATCCAGATGACGCACATATCGCACAATGCCCAGCATCATGCCCTCAATGCTCGTCACACTCAGGTACTCTGAAGAGGCTGCTTGTTCGTTGTTTGGGTCTTTGGTGGATTTAGGATCCAATATGGATTTCATAATGTAAATAACATGTTCGATGAATAGTGTATTGATTTCGGTAACGTTCACTTGCCCCTGCTGATCGAAAAACTTCTCAACGATCGAACGTATCTGATCAAAGAGTATGGGATAAAGTTGTGGTGTCATTTCCTCACCAATCAACTCTTTAACATTTTTCTGTATATTCAAGCCAATCTTCTCATTGTTGCACACGAGCAAACGCAACAGTTGACCAATGAATCTGTGAAAAAAGTGACAAAAAAATTTTGTTTTGTGTAATATGACAACGCATATTTTAGTGACAAATTATTAGCTCACTGTGTCACCGGGCAGTATTGCAAATCCTGCTGCGGCGCTTGCACTATAGTAGACAAAGAAATTGTGCTTGGATGTAGCAGTGAACCGCGTCCAGAGCTGGTGGAGCATGAGTAGAGGGAATAGAGCGATACAGCTGGTATCGAGGAAATAGAAGTCATGCTGCCTGATGCAGCTAGTGTGTTCTGCGAATGTGCCAAGTTGTTGTGCGATTGCAAGAGATTACCCGGACCACAAGCCAAACCGCTAGTTGCGCCCACATTTGCGGCAGTATTCTGCTGTTGCATTTGCTTCCAACGCGCAGCCAAACGCTTTTGTAGACAAACACCGCCAAGCGTCAGCAGAAACCAAGTCATGTTAGCCCATTCGGTTATGTGCTCCTCCAGATCGTGCTCGGAACTTTGATGACTTGCGCGACGCTTGCCAACACCACGATGAAAGAGCTCAGCTTGAGCATCGTCTGTCTTGCATTTAGGATATGTTTGCAGCACTTTGCTAGTGAGCTCCCAGTTTCTAAGGAGATGGCGATACAAAGTTAAAACGTTTACAAATTTAAAAATAAAATAAAATAAAGGCACCTAAAAGTCTCCTCCCAAGCAGTTTGCACGCCATCCACGCAGTGCTCGATTTTACGGAGCAAATTCATCATACGTCGTTGTAGCGTAAGGCGGCCTACAAAAACGAAAAAACGCGTCTTGAGTCAAATTGAAAGGGTTATGAAAAAAGTGATGAACTCACTAAATGCATTTCCATGATTGGTTTCGTAGAAGCAGATGCGCGTATCAGTAGCGGCTGGAAATGAAAAATTAAGTATAAAAATAGATTTTGTTTATTAATTTCCTCAACGCTCACAATTCGCTAACTGCGTTAGATCCTGATAGATTTGATAATTGGCCACCGGCAACACTGTCGCCGCATCGTCTGCTGTCAGCAATATATCAGACTCTTGGCACAGCAGGCCAAAGCAGGATAGCGAAGTCAGTACTGCATCCAAATCGACTGACCACAGGTACATGAAGAACACAACTTCCAGCTTGATGCGCGCCTGCCGACAAATCTGCAACTCATGCCCGACCAACGCATATTTTTTGTGCCGCTGCAGATACGCGTTGCGACAAATCAATATCTCACGCATCCACTTCAACACATCTGTATAATTGGCGATCTGATGTTGTATAAGCTTCTGTGAAATCGAGAAAAGCACCTGCGAGCTGACATCCCAGAAGCAATTCATTGGCGCCTGCGGATTCCATAATTCAATTTTGTCGAACGAGTGCAGAGCGAGGAGTGCCTCCATAGCTTCCTGAGCTACATCCGGCATGGTGGGTTGGTGTACTAAACTCACTAGACCATTAATGAGTTCGAGCGAGGAGCTTTGCATTTCATGTGCCACTTTGCCTTGGGTCTGTAATTATAAGGTTGAAGGAAATGTGTAAAATAGTACAATCAAATAGTGATGCTAATACACTTACATTCAACAATAAGGTGGGATCGGCATGTATAAGTCGAACCATGAGCAGCAGCAGCATTTTGTGCGCAGGTCCTTCTTCAGAGCGCGCTAAACCTTTTTGGGTATCTTTCGATTTTAGCGTCAAAGATGTGATCATACGCAAAGGCGTATGTGCGATATAACCCTGTGTAGCTTTATTTAATGTGTCAGTGAAGAGTGCACGCAGCTCTGCTGAACGGTAATGTACGACATTCGTTTCGGGCCACCAAGGCAGCGAGGGCTGATTAATGGTCCGAAATGGATTTTTATTTTGCAGTCGAAAATCAACATGAATGTGCGTTAATCTGCAAGAGTGGATAGTCAAAAAAGTTGCCCTTTATATTCCTTCATATTAACACTTTACCTCAATAACGAGCATACAATCACGAAATGATACGCCTGCGGTGACGACAGATTTAAGCACACCTTCAAAGTGTCAATATTGTGAGGGTTAATGCGGAAGAGCGAGACCCAGCAATCGATCATTAGCTCAATATCGGCATAATTGTACGCTTGTCCACGCGAAAATGGCTTTACCGGATTGAAGAGCAACGCCTTCAAATCATTAATGACGTACTGTACCAGCTTGAAGATAACATTATTCGAATCGTTGATATTCACATAGGTTGAGGCCTTGCAAAGTTTCACGCATGCGATGGCAGCATACTCGGTGACTTGTTTGGAGGGTGAGTGTGGGCCCAGTCCGCGCTTAACACCCTCAATAAACTGTTTAGCCGATTGCTCTTTGTCACGTGTCGTCTGTGCGGAAGGTTGTGCGGATGATGATTTATCTTTATCTTTATATTTTTCTTTGTCTTTCTCCTTCTCAGATTGTTGTAATTCATTGACCGTGGCTTCCAAGCAACTCTGCAAGTACAAAACTCATTTAGTGCATACAATTGACAGCAAAAATATTGTTGACCATACAGGATTAAGTATAAGCAGTAGCATCTGCAGCGGCCATACAGTAGTTTTATTCTTCTTATTCTCTAATTTGTACGCTTCAACGAATTCCAGCAAAGCTTCCCAACAACTATACACGAAAAATAGTACCGAAAATTGGCTACATGATAAGCAAATTTACATTTACCGTGCACTTACCCAGATATTTCCTTAGTTGTAATGCCGCGTTGCAAATCCTGAAACTCATGTGGATGATATTCGATCCAATTCCAAATAGCCTTTTCCAACGAGTGCAACAATAGGAGTGGTGGCGCCCGCTTCGATCTTGACTTGGACACTGTTTCATGAAAAAGAAATTCTACATATTATAATTCGTAGATTTAACATTGTCTCCTACAATTTACATGCAATCAATTATTACCTTGTAACAATTTCGTCAATTTATTTATATCCATATCAATGTGTTGTATCAATTCAATGTCACAGTAGTCGGGATTCTCATCCGAGCATGTGGTCAACTCTTGTATACGCGCTGAAATGCGATTGAAGACCGCTGAAAAGTGATTTTGTGAGAGTGCAAAAAGCACTTTTGAAGCAATGGCCTTCAACTGTGCTGCATTGGGATTACTGTCACTCTGTACATCGATTAATTGTGAAATTTCACGTAGCAATAGCTTAACATTCATTGCCTCTTCGAAACGCGCAGTATCCTTGGTCTGGTTGGCCAAACAACGTTCGAGTGTAGTAAGTATGATGACAAGCGATTCGAAATAACAACGCTCCGCGTCATGACGATTTTGGAAAGACTGCAGGGAATTAGAAAAAAGATATATGTAGTATGATAAGTACATATGTACATTTCTAAGGAAAATATAAAAATAACTTACCGCCTCATTAACGCGTTGCAGTATTTTAGTGAGTCCGGATATTACCAGTGAGAAACGATAGCGAGAAATATGTATGAGACATGCGCTCAGCTGATCTTGACTGATACGCGCCTGTGTGCTATGTGGTCCAATTTTGTTGGGGAGCTGAAATTGGAAGAATGATAAATAAATTAATAAATTTTACTAAAAAAGTAAAATATGTAATTTAATATATGGGGCAAAGTACATATGCAATTTGTATGTAGTAAGTAAATATGTCTCTATATGTAGAATGGATTATGTGCTACTATACTACCCGAAATCGAGAACATACAGTTGTCCACAAAATAATAGGAGTGCGATATTTTGACCAGTTTTGGCTATTTGTCTTTTGTTTATTTAATGTTTATTATTTTTTTATAAAAGCCTAGCTGGCTATACAACAAACACCATATAAATTCAGATTTTAAACTTTGTATAAAAATTATAAAAATTTTGCAATTTTTCACCCAAATTTCAAACTGTTTAATCAGAATCTTTAGAAAGAATTCTGGTATGCAGTTTTGTAGCACATTCAATTCTAGTGAAACACCTTTAACCAAAAAAATTCTCAAAAATCAACGGAATTTTTTAGCCGCTTGAAACTTGCACTTCTTCAGACTAGAATTGAATGTGCTACAAAACTGCATACCAGAATTCTTTCTAAAGATTCTGATTAAACAGTTTGAAATTTGGGTGAAAAATTGCAAAATTTTTATAATTTTTATACAAAGTTTAAAATCTCAATTTATATGGTGTTTGTTGTATAGCCAGCTAGGCTTTTTTAAAAAAATAATAAACATTAAATAAACAAAAGACAAATAGCCAAAACTGGTCAAAATATCGCACTCCTATTATTTTGTGGACAACTGTATGTATGTATGAATTCGTTTTTCGTGTAATTCAGTAGAACGTGCAGCATCTCCTGGGAGTATATTATTGCAAACTCTATAACATCAACAATTGTTTATTTTTTTTTAACCAAATTCAGCTATTTGCTCAAAAATTACTTGTACATAATTTTTCAAATTGTATTTTGCTTTAATTTTATTATTTCTTTTTTTTTTTGTAATTTAAAGTAACTTCCTAATTCTTCATAAGAATTAATTGGCCAGCAAAAAACTTAAAACGCCATCTCCATTTTACTGATTTTATAATCTAGATTTTTCCCATTTATCCGTTTTCCTAATCCATTCCAGGCATTCTATAGTTCTATTTCATCATATGCTTAGCAAAAAATAAGTTCGTTCCTTTATCTGCAACACATANAGGAAGGCAGTCGCCAAATTCACCGAAGGTTGTTTACTGGTTATATTGTGCATATCATTGAAAGCGAAATTCAATACAACAAGTGCCCAGTAGACCAGAACAACATACCGAAATAAAAACAATAAACATTTCGATGCACTTGAAAAATTTCCCCAAAATACGCTCGCATTCAACAAAACGACAGCCATTCTCCCATTCATACATTCATTCATGTGAGCCCCGCAACTTGTGGCTTTACGTTAAAATTTCCCAACTTTCACTTTTCATTCTCGCAGCAACAATCGCGAGCCATTCATAATTCATTCGGGCGATCCGATTTCATTCATAATTCCACCCAACTACTACGCAAGCCGGTGTAAACAAAACGTAAACAAATGAATATCCCAAAACAATAACAAACGTTTGCCATCGCACTTGCACACTAGCGCTATCACGCTCGCTCAATGGGACATTTTTTAATCGATAAGGAAATTTTCTGACAGCTTTTTTGCATTGCGCTGCAGCAGCCCCTGGGCGAGACCCAGTGAAAATCCATGTTTTCCGCTCACCTGGTCCTCGAAACGGGCCAAAAGCGAGTTCGCCCACTCGCCGGGCTTTTGGATTGCCATTTGTATATATTTTCCACAATTAATTTACACTTTTTACTGCATTTTTTATTTTTATTAGTAGAGCTGCACAATTTTCACACAATTTTTAGCTACACAGATTTTCACTTTGTGGCATTGGCTGCGATTGCACGGGGAAATTTCACATTGACAGCGACAGTGATCGGACACAACAATTCGTGTGTAGAATCTGAAATAAAATTTGGTACATTTCAAAAATTAAAAAAAAATACAAAAAAATTTGGTAAATCTCAGGTTTTGAACCAAACTCTGTACAAACATTCAAAAAATTCTGTGCAGACATGCATTTATTCGTTTTTGAGAAATCTTGATTTCAAAAATTGCTTATTTTGAACTTTAATCTTTGATAATTCTTGTTGTTGTTGTTTGCCCAAAAAAAGATTCCAATATTTTATTTTTTTTTTTGAGATTTTGAGCCCAACTGCATTTGTTCCAAATTCTGAAAGGTCTTACCCAATTTGCAAACATTTTAATTAGAATCTTACAGGTCTATTCTGCGCTGGTAATGAAAATTTGTAACTGGTAAATAAAGTTCCTGTCAATTTTTGAACCCTTTTCGCATTCTGTGTACTCTTGTAACCGGTAAATTTTGTTACCGTCTCATAAGCTGGTAACAAAGTATTGCCCCATGAAATATACCATGCCAGAATTTGCACAATTCTTCGTAGCTGAATTGCTGAATATTTTAACTGCATTACCAACGTTCCTAGAATCGTGGTGACAGGAACTAGTAACACTTTTCGGTAATAACATTTTCCGGTTACAAAATCTTCTGTAACGTGCAGAATATACCTGTAAAAGAAAAATTTAATTTACTAACATAAATTGCAAGATTGAAGTTCCTAAAAATTGCGTTGAGTTTTGGGAACTTTTTTCCTTGTAAGTGTAAAGTTTTGAGAGATTTTTACATTGCGAAGTGCTGCCAGCTTTTCTTTTTATCACATCACGAGGTAGCGAATAAATGTGGCATGTTCCAGAAACCACTACTTGGGATTTGCCGATTTTAACAATTCTCAAGTAAAAGTAAACAACGCCTTATATACTTAAGATGCACTGAAATTTGCTAATACTTTCACAAAAATTGCCTTTTTTTAACACTTTCGCTATTAATTCTTTTTATAGATCAGATATTTTGCAATAAAACCACGTTTTCCATCGAAAAATTGATTATTGAGAAAAAAAGTTTATTTTATACTCCCATTCGGCTTTGTTGTTAGTGTTTAGTGTTGGACAAGTTTTGCTCTTAAAATTAAGAAAATTATGTCGAGCAAAAATAAAACTACTCAAAAATGCGAATGTGTGCTAGATGAAAACAGCTGTTCCTGTAAAACCTGCAAATCTTTCAAATCGTGAAGTACGGGAACGGGCTACTTGTGTGGTAGATGTTCAAAAAAGTGCAGATCTACACAATGTGGTAGAGTCCGATCACTGGACTGCGCTTTGAGGCCGTCAAATGAGTGTTTCGACTCCATTACGGGAGCTAAATTTTTTTGGTGCAAAAGTCCAGTGTTTGTTGTTGGTTATATAAAAAAAATATATATATAAAACCAGAAGAAAAAATAAATAGTTATCAGTTTTAAAAATAAAAAAATTATAAAATATAAAATACAATAGACTTAAGAGCGAAATACACCACACAAGCGGTTTGACAAACCAAGCGAAATTTCCCTTTGCTTCAAGCCATTTGTGCTGTGTATGGGGGTGTTTGAAGGTTTGACAAACCGCCGTCAAACCTTCAAACACCCCCATACACAGCACAAATGGCTTGAAGCAAAGGGAAATTTCGCTTGGTTTGTCAAACCGCTTGTGTGGTGTATTTCGCTCTTTAAATGCATAAAAAAAGAAATTAACTTCTATAAAATAAGAATGTATTTTAGTGGTCACATATTAGATATTAATAGCAGAATCGCAATTGGGCGTTCGGTCGGTCGCGCGTTTAACAGATGAGTAAAAATAACTGTTAACATGGTAACAAATCAAATGGGGCACTGCAACTGACCGGCATAAAAGTTAGCTGCCTCTGTTTTTTTTACCAAAAATTTTATTTATCGTTATCTTAATATGGAAGGACCCTAAGAGCCGGTTGTTCAATGCCGGGTTATCACCACCTCCGAGTTAAACATCGTTATCGGCGTTTTCGATATCATGCCCATAATATGTGATCGATAAAACAGTCGTTGTATTTAACCGAAGCATCTACCTCCGATTTGTGTTAATCAGACATTGAACAATCGGCCCTAAATATACCCTATTGCACTCTGCATAACATATAACAGGGATTCGATAACGTCGATAAAGATGTTGAAGTTAGCCTAAGGGTAACGGTAACGTCTTTTAGGCCCATAACATAATCGCCGATAACGATGTACTGGTGATAACCAGACATTGAACAACCGGCCCTAAATCGTTTTGCCGGAATGCAGGGCGCGTTCAGAAATGCATCAATCCAAAGCATCAGTCTCTTTTATTTTTAAACTATAATTACTTATATATACAGTTAAAAGACGAAGTGGAACTTAGTTGCGCAAATAAGACATTTCCATCAATTATAGTTTAGATATAAAAGACTCTGATGCTTTGGCTTGATGCATTTTTGAACGCACCCCAGTTACAGTTGCACGGCTATACTCAATCCCGATTCTTGCGTCCTCGTTTGCGCACTCTGGGTCACGGCAGAAAGAGAGGGAGCTTCGGTGGGCCACTCCAATTTATTCGGTTTAAGGGCTCACTGAAGTCTGCAAGCGGGTTTCTGTCTTGGAGCAAGCGGCTCGCCCGCTCGCATCAAGCTACGTGGTTGTCTCCACATCGAAAGCACGCTTCCAGTCTTTTGGACGTACGTACATACACTACGAGGCCCAAAAATCGACTTGGACCACTATCTTGTTGCAGCTAACAAACGTACCCGCTTCTGTGTAACAAAAAATGTGCGCCCAAAAATGCAAGGGAAGCTTAACGTCGAAAAGCTGCAATCACAACAGACGGCCAATGTATGCTACTCGACTCTCATACCTGCTTTCAGAGAGCACTCTTCCACAAACCGACATATGCAAACAGTGGAACCATATTTGCCGTTCATTAAGCACCACCGCCGAAGTAGTAGTCGAATTTCAGCTAGCCTGAAATAACAACTGGCATGATGAGGAGTGTCAAGAATCTGAAGAGAAAAAAGATGCCGCCTATAGGGCCACGCTGCGATCGGGCCATGTGGCACCGTTATAGGGAGCTGAAGAGGGAAGCGAGACGTATTTTCCGTAATAAGAAGAGAGAGGCCGAAATACGTGAGTGCGAAGAGCTCTAAATGCTGGCCGACAGGAAAAACGTCCAGTGCGACTCCCTTTCATGCGATTTCTTTACTCTGATGTTGGCGAAGATAAGAGCTGCAGTACTGAATCGCTCAGGTAAAATTTTTTACAAGAGCGAGCAACTGCTGGCGTACGCTGATGAAATCCTAGTTGGATAAGGAAACAAAGCGAGTGGGTCTGGCGGTCTACGACCAGACAAAGTATCTCCTGTCATCAAACAAACAATGAGCGCATTCGCACCTTGGCATCCACGTCACTGCATTTCTGGCCCGAAAAAGCTTCTCTTAAAATATATTTGCAACACGGAGACGGCGCAAAGCTATAAGCCTCTCAATTTGTGTAACATAATCAAGACGTAATACCTGAACTTGAAGGTAAAGCTCGGCCAAAAAATTAGCAAAAGTGTAAGCGCAAAAAAAAAAAAGTTGTTTTACCGCGGGTCTCTTGAGGCAGATAAAGTTCTTCCTCTGTTATGGGCTGTGGTGGAATTTCGCAGATGGCATTTCATTTTTCTCGCCGTTTAGCATTCTGTTATGTGTCCCTATCTGCGAGCATTAGCAGATATGCCATAGTATACCAGAGCGATGCGTGACATATCAGTGACCAACAGGCGTACTATAGTTTGGATCCCGCCGGCCAAATACCATGTATGTTGCCAATATCTTTCTTTGTCTTAGCATGCCATTTTTTCTTATTCTTGCTAATTGTCGCCAATTAGAAACACCAAGTGAGCGAAGCTCATCTGTATCTGGAATTTCCAAAGCAGAGAAGGTCTTCCTCTTTTTGTACCACAACCAGCCGAAACGGTGCATTGTTTCATTGTCTCCGGAATCCGCCAACACTACAGCGCAAAGGCCTGTAAGTATTATGCAGAGTCTTTCTCCCGAATATTGCAGAAGACTGCCTCTGCGCCATAAGCACTTTGCGTTTTTTTAAGCACACCAAGCTTTTCGTTTCTGTGCCAACTCACGCCAATCAAAAACATCAAGTGAAGCTAAGCCCATTTCTATCAGGTACCACCAGCCTTCGCACTCGATTGTTATGACACAACGAATCGGATTAGATACGTGCGAATGGCATCCATAAGATACCGGAATTGATCAATATCATTGGCACACGATAATTATTGTATGCATGCTCTTGTTGCTGAGAAAGAACTGTCCAGTTCTGAAGATCTTGGAGACTTCTCCAATATTACGTTGAAGAAACCGCATAAGGGGCGCACCTTATCTGAAACCTGTTTTGACATCAAGCGGCTGGGATATATGCTTTCCATTTCTGATGAAGCCGGCTTGACAGGGATCCAGGCCGAGCACCACCTACAATATCAGCTTGTAGATCTAGCGAAAAGTAACTTCTGCGACAGCATTAAGATGCAGCCCATAAATTATAGGAAAAGCTCCGCCAAGCACTTTGCAAATTGTGCTACATTAAAGATCAACCATGATAGGATATGACTTTCATTAAAAATAGTTAAAAATAACGTATGTGATTCTAAAGAAATCTTAATCTGAAAATGGAAAGCAATAAAAATGTCAATAAGTGGTAATTAAAAGAAATGATCGTACATTTTGAAGGGAATTCACAAATATGTACGTACATAATTCGATTTGGTCCCAAAACCGATTACGTGTTAGAAAGAACAAAGTTGCAGGTACTATGTATTATCCGACACTCCGCTTAAAGGCATTTCCCATCATGTTGTGTGCTCGAATGTAAACCCCCTTCTTCAACTAATTTGGTATTACCATTGTTCGTATGGAATTAAAATCATTCTAAAAATAAATACTTGCAAACGAAAGATGGAATGTTGTATTGAATTTCATGTAATGAAGCAAGAGCTTAAGATTTTATGAAGGCATTATGTATGAATATTAGGGTGGTCCCTAAAAATCAAATGAACGAGATTTTTTTCAGTCTCACCCAGCTATGAAGTTACGACACAGCTCTAAGATAAGGTGAAATAATCGTGCTTGGATGAGTTAGTGCAAAGTTACAAGATAGAATAATAAACTTATGGCCATAGATCAGTTGCGATAAATTAGCTCCGTGACATCGACATACAAGTAAAACTTTCTTGGACTTTATTGGCAACCGCTATTTGATTGAGTTCCAGTTGTAACTCTTATCTAGTATCACGCTTGGATATTTCGACTCTACATACTTTTGGCTTAATTGACAGGCCCTTTTTGGCACAACATACTACAGTGGGGTTTAGAGTCGCCTGCATCCTGAAGTATAAGGTGTCCTCATTCCAGCCTAGCACGTAGATAACAAGGCAAACAGCATAGCCATATGCATTAAGCATAATAATACCTTTAAGTATTTCCAAAAGTTCGTCCACAACGAGTTCTACAATATGGGGAGGCAGGGAGGGTCACCTTCGGTCAGCCACGAATGCCGAAATCGTTCGCCTACTGCCTTCTACTTCCATGATTCAATAATAAAAGGGTTGCTCAGAAAACAGTTTTCCCGCTCCCTCTTGACAAAATCGGCTCCTTTAGCAAGGAACTGAGTGTGGGTTCGTGCGTGTGTGCAAAGCTTTGTAAAGGAGTTAAGGGAGTGTCAAAACTCTGATATCACTAGTGAGCAAACGTTTAATTATTGCATTATGTGCTAGTTCGACTATTATAGTTCTGTGTTTCAGCATGCTTATAATTCAGTAAGATATATGTAGCTTAATCCATTCTGGTCATAACCAGGATAATTGCTTCGTACGATGTACATATTGTCGAAAGCAGCTGATATATCAAGAAATGACTTTTCAATTACTTGGGTCGGGTATTGTGACTAATAGTAGACCATGGATAGTAGACTTTCCCTGCCTGATAGGCATGTTGACTTTCACAAAATGTTTTTTTCTTGAGATAGGTGTCCTTGACTTAAAGATCAATAAGTTTTTTTTAAATGTTTTGATTAGAAAAGAGCTGAGGATTATGGGTCTATACGCCTTTGGATGATTATAAACATAGTGTAAACAATAGGTTAGGTTAGGTAAGCGGGCTGCCTCCGCATGTGGAGGCACACTTGGACTCGACTAAGCTGTCCGTTGTGATGCCCTCAGAGGGGGGGGGGAAAACGGGAAGCATGGAGGGCAGGGGAAAGAGGGAGGAAGCTATGGGAGAATGTAAACAATACTAATTACAATAATAATACTTATGAGAAGGACGATATCGTTAACGATAAAAAAAAAAAATATTACAGCTTCTTTGTTTGTCGGAAACTTTAAACAGCTAGTTTAGGTTCGAAAGATACCATAGTAGTCATATTGTGAATTTCCACTACGTCGAAAAATAGTTGGTTGAGCTTTAGGAGAGCAAATAAAGTCCTAAGCTCTGTTTAATATTTCCAACGGGTATACAACTTATACATTTTTTAAAACATTGCTCTTCTATGAACAATTTTCCAAACTAAGTATGAGTGTAAATACGAACTCACTCTACATATAGTCGTTTAAAGTGCAAAACCGCGTAACTGACATTTGCTGCCAAAAATAATCCATTCGTCCTGAAATATACTATGCAGAAATGCGATTGCGATTGAGAACCATTTTGAAATATGAGTATTTATTTACTCTTCTAGAAAATAATTTATGCAACCTCACATTTGCATTTTGTTGATACGCGGTTCTGTACTTTAAACGACGGCATGCTCAATGTGCGACCATTGTTAGTCGTTTGCTACCTACCAAGAGTCATAAAAGCTCCAAGCTCGACTTCCAATCAGCCGGCAATACAAAACGGCGCAGACAAATCAGCGATGTGTTAACTTAGCGTAAGCAGTTATGAACTTTTAGTTCGACGTGAACGTTTGTGGAATTGAGACGTGCTTTAAAGAAACCGCAAAAAAAAGTGAAAGTGTAAAAATATATACTTTTTTTCTTAACTTTAAACCCAAAAAGGTGACAAAAGCCGAGCTTAATGTGAAAATAAGAAAATTGAAAAGCAATCAAGAGTCATTTACGTAAATCGGTACATATAAAGTTAATAAAAATAGTAGCTAATTTTTTTCGATCACAACTACACGCAATCTTTATATTGCGCTTGTGTAAGTGACTGTGTAAGGGGACGACGGACCGGTTCAACGGGCCGCTTATATCACCACACAACCAAGCCGACCACAGTCGAATTCAACAATCCAAAGTAAGAAACCGTCAGCAGTTATTCGCAATTGGTGCACACCAAAAAAAAAAAAAAAATAAATAAATAAAATAAAGTGAAAAAATAGTAACTATGAGTAGGTAAAAAAATGTCTATAGCTGTAGCTTCAATTTGCACGCAAATAACCATACACTTAAACAAATTAAACTATGTATATTGTTTTTTTTTTATTATTATTAAATTTTTCGTGCACTTGCCTTACTTGCGCAAAAAAAACGAAAAAAAAAAATGGTCTTGGCAATTTCAATCAGCAATTCGCTAATGAATCCTATTAAGTAAATGCGTATAAATAAGAGAATTTATTATATTTGTCTATTTCGCGCTACGTCCATCCACTCACCCGTTCAACTCGTTGACGCCCGTGGAGGCCGAATGCTTTGCTTTCGCACACTTTGCAGTGATTTAGGAATTTATTAACTTTTTTTTTTTTTTGGGGGAAAACCTCAACTTACTCAATACCTGTACCTGTGTTTGCAGTGGTAAGCTTCGCAAGCCTCTCAATGCAATTATACCCACTCTTGTGTATACAATTGAGTGGGTGCACACACGTAAATACCTATATATATGTATATAAATATGTATGTACATTTATATACATATCTGTGTATAAATGTAAGTACATATATAAGTATGCGTTATGCGTTTTGTTTGGCTTTTTTTTTATTTATTTACTTTCAACGTTTTATAGTTATGTTATGTATTGTTTATTGTTGTTGGAATTACTTAGATATGTTTGCGTTTCATGGCTGGCATTTCCCATGCGCTTGCCAAAGTAGCATTACAAATGCTCCAAAGTAGCCTCGAAGCGCTTACAATAGCCGACAATTGGTGATACCCTTAAACGTCTAGTTACAGTGGGTCGATAAGCATTGCTGGGGCAAAAAATAAATAAATAAATATTTCAATGTATCTCCATCGCAACTAATTTTTAAGTGCATATGAGTTATCGAAAGCTACAAAAGCTATCTTCAATATCTTTCTAATAAAGCTCCATAGGTTGATTTCTACTAAAGGAGCTATGTATTGGCCTTTTCAATAAATTACATAGGTTTTTTATGTTTTTGGTATTTAGGGGATTTGGGTCGCTTGAGTGCGAATAGAAAAACAAGATTTTCAAAGTCAAAAACGCTAAAACAGAACTATTGCAGGCTACTTTTCTGCAGAGCTCTATTTTACAAGCATTTTCTATGTTTCACCTGTGTGTATTTAATCAAATCTTACTATAAATTTGTAACCGACTTCCTGACTAGGCTAGAGGCTTGAAAGTTCAAACTTAGCTCAGTAGACCTTGACAATGCAATTTGAAACATGAATTAGTCCGCTAGCTGGAGGAGGTGTCGAGGTATATATATAGTCCAATTTGCTTCATGCATACACAGGCCAAACGTTGGAGTTTCGAATCCCATGCCACCACCCCATATGTAATTAATGGCCGTACTATCATAATATATGTAGGTACACGCATCTAAGGATCTTTGGGGTGCACCCCAAGACTTGCCTACTAGATGCCAGGATTAGACAGATCTTCTTAACATCCATGGCTACGATTCCATTCATCATTACGTTACTCATGCCTAGAATATTTCTTCTTCTGGTAAAACGGACGATGGCCGTTTTAGACCGGTTGGTGTAAAGATCCACTCTGGCGCACCATCCCTTCGTTATGTTAAGACGTCTTTTGTTTGCAGAGAGTACTCTCGAGCTTTCCTCTAGCAATTAGGTTTGGCTAAGTGGACTACTTTAAGAGCTAGTTACCGCATACATTCGTACGATGGAACCCAGCCAGTACAGCCGTACTGGCCATTGTCTCCGGTACTACACAATTTTTCTCTTGAACATGATACGAGACGAGAGATGTTCGTTCGTCGAGAGTTGGTTTTATTACATAATTGTCTACTCAATTTATAGTGAGTACTTAGTTCTTGTTGAAGCAGATATTATTGCTGGTCTAATGCTGCTTGCAAAGGTATACTTTCAATTGTTCTATTGTACGCTCATATAGAATATGGTACCTAAGAGGTTCAGTCCTGCAGAACCGATTACCTTCTCCAATATTAGAACAAAATAGAAGCACCTTGCCTAAAACATCGACTCAGAGAAGGCGGGAATACTTATCCGGCATGTAGGCAACTGCTTTCCGTAGCGCCGATAATAAAAATGATGTGTGTTGACGCTTCTCTCATGAGTCTTTTCCTACGCTTGCCAACTGAATACCAGGTCTATGATAGATTTAAAAGGGTCTAAAGTTCCAACCTGTTGCTTGTCGTGGACTTTAGACTTCTTTTAAAACGCCGTATTCGATATTAAGAAAGGTTATTCCGTCCTAGTCGCGTTCGGCTGAGTATGGTTGTTGATCTTTCACGCTAAAACGGCTGGACCTGGATTAACATATAGAATATCTTTTGAAGAGAGTGGCCACCTTTTTATAAAACCTAAAATCAATTAATTTATAGATTTAGCAAAATATCATACCAATAAGGGTTTCAAACGAAAGTGATTCTAAAACGACATATTTCGAAAGAACTTTGAAGAGGGTTGCCATCTGTTCAAAATGTCTAAGATAATTAGATTAACAAACTGAGTGAACTATTTTTTTTGGGTATCAAAGAGGTGGTTTTAAGAAAGATTTATTTTTCGGAAATATTTTTTACGAAGGTTGCCACCTGGTTAGGAATTTAAAACCAACTTAATTAATAAGGCAAATGAAATATTTTAATATGCGTGTCAAGCAAGAGAGGTTTAAGAAAGTTTTACCTCAAAAATAGTTTTGAAGAAGGTTGCCACCTGCTTAAAAATTCAAAATCCATTTTATTAAGTTATACGAAATATTTTATCATGGGTGTCAAACGAAAGAGATTTAAGTAAGCATAAGAGAGTGATTATGGCAACTTAACTTAACTGAACGGAACTTAGAAAATGAAACAGGTATGACGGTATTTAATCAGACAGAATTCTTATATGCAAACACAGAAAAGTTGTAACTGTTATTTAATAAAGCTTTGTAATTGCTACCGTACAAGAAAAATGAGCTTGAAGTAAAATTCTTTACAATTCTGTAATCATAACTTTTAATAGAAAAGTGGAAAAAACCGAATAAAGCTTTGCTTTTAAATAAAAAATAAAAAAATAAAAAACGTTTAAAAAGCGATAAGAATAAGAAGTTCCATCTTATCGCATGCCAATACGAATTAAACTGTGTACTCGGATTGTTTATGGTACGGCACAGGGAAGATTAAAGCGGATGACTTGGAAAAACCAAATTGCATGGTTATCTGTGCAAGTGAAAAACGAAAAGTATATACTTGTATACATACACACAAATGTATGTATATAGTACAAAAGTACATATATTATTCATGCACCGATTCCTGATTAAGTCCGTGGAATTTTAAAAGAGTCTTTTTATATTACATACTTATGCATATGTATCGGGTGTTTTTTTTAGAGGTATATAATTATATTTCAAATAAAACTCAGACATATTTATGAAAATACCAATATTTTGGCCTTATAATTTTTATGAACAGAATTTCGGGAATATGGCCACCGCAACTGCGTCTTAGGAAGTCCTTCGTGTCTGTCCAATAATGCACCACATTTTCCAGCCTGCCTTAAGTGGCCAACCGACAGTCCCATTTCTTGATATTATTCGGTCACCAAAGTTCGTCCCAATGGTTGTTGTTGTTGTAGCGGCTACTTAGCCCTGCCTAGATCGGCTTATGCCTCAATCGTTGTCGTCAAGCTCAACTAACGCGAAACCCAAGAAGTGTGCCACTCCAACTTGGTTGGTCCATTGGGAGAGGAGCGCTAATTTCGCAGTGGGTGGGGGCCATGCGAAGAGATGTTGCTAGTCGAGAGGTGACTCTCCGCATGTCGGACACTCATTGCGCCCATCTTAGTCTGCTGCAGCATCCAGAGCAAAGTTGTGCTATGCTGGTGGAAGTGTCCCGAGGCAGACAAAGTTCTGTCTCGTCCACGTCAGGTGTCTGTGTTCCCAAATCGGCTTTTAAAGGTCGGGAGTTGGTGTAAGTTGAGACTAATTGCCTTTGAATGCTGTTTATGGCCTCTTGGTACGCTTTCGGGTCCAGAGGTTGTTGCATGAACCTCTGGACTTTGTCCGTTAGTTCAGATGCCATTTTCGAGCAAGTTCCTACTTGAGCTTTGAGATATAATAATTAATGGACTCCATTCTGTGGGACCCCCTGTTTAATTTTTCTGGGTTTGCTGGTTTCATATCTGAATATTACTGACGAATGTCGACCACTCAGATCATTCTATGACCACCGTTTGAGTCCCTGTGGAAGAAAGGAAGCCGAAATATCTTATATTAGTGGTTGACGAAGTCAAACGCGTTTGGCAGATTCAACGCTACCAGGACTGTTCTCTCATAGGGGCGGTTTCGGCGTAGCCCATGAGCTATCTAAATGTTTATGACGTTAAGTGCTGTTGTTTTGCGATGTACTTTACGGAATCGATGCTGATGCGTCATTGAGGTCGGGTGGTACGTATTGTGCGGGAGTAGCGAGGTCCCAAGTGTCTTCGCTTCCACGTTTTTCAGATGTCCGGAAGGACAGTGGCCATGAACAGATTGAAGACATTGGTGAGATACTACTACTCTACTTCCGCTGGACCAATGGTGGTTTTACGCGCTGTATAGCTTGTTGCCCCGTCCTTCTAGAACCATTTAGCACTTAGACGATTGATATTGACTTAAGGAACCAAAAAGTAGCAAATTATTTGCCGCACAGCAAACGAATTTTGTAAATAAAAGTCTACGAATTGTATATACACATACGTATGTAAATATCAATGTGTTTACTTTGACAGATATTCCTCTAGGAAATTCTATATTATTATTCTGTATTTTATATTTATGAAGGACATGATAAAATATTTAGTGCGATTCATCATTATATCAAAATTTGCCTGGATGATTATTCACCAAACGCGTCAACAGTGTTGCCACTTACATAAGTGAGTTT